AGATGCTTTTCTATTCCTGATGCAATTCATCTTGTTACTGAAATGTTTCCTTCCTTCTTATTTTGTGAGTGTTTATGAGTGTTGGAGTTCCACAGAACAGTGGTCTATCTGTGAAAACATGATTATAGGTTTGCTGCAGAATGAAATGGTCATCCTCACTGACAACGGGCACACTGTTCAATGTGTTTGAGGGGAGCAGCTGTTGCGCTTGGCAGGAGAGGAAGGAGAGGTTCTGCCAGTCTGAGTAGGGATGTTCTAATGAATCAGCTTATGCGGAGCACTGCCAACCACTGGGTCACAACAACTAGTCCAATGAGTCCTACTTGTTGGTCTTTGTTACTTTCTAAAAGACGGAGACGTCAATTTTATGTATAATGATTTCATTTTCACTTTCGGCAACGAAGGATGAAGTCTCCTTTCCATCAGAGTGAACTCCCAAACTCTTGTTGGGACACTGAGTAAAACACTTTCCCTCCCTCTCTCTCTTCCAGCCCCTTCCGACCCGGACGGGGGTCCCTGCCGCAGGACGTACTGCGGCCGGGGGCGGCAGTGCGTTCTGATGCCGGAAACCGGCCGCGCCGAGTGCGTCTGCCAGGAGAAGTGTCGGCCCTCCTTCGTGCCGGTGTGCGGCTCGGACGGGCGCTTCTACGAGAACCACTGCGAGGTTTACCGCACCGCCTGCCTGCAGAGGAGACGCATCTACGTGGTGCACAGCAAGGACTGCTTCTTCAAAGGTACCGCCAGCAGCACACAGTGGCAGCAGGTTGGCTGAAAAAATACACACTTAAGTTAAAAAATTGCTACATGGTTTTAGTCAACATGTTTTCACCTCTGTTGAGAGCCTGGAGGCTGACAAGTCCTGTTGTCGGATCTGTGCATAGAGCGAGGTACCAGACCGGGGTATCAGACTGAGGTACAAGACCGAGGTAGCAGACAGGGGTATCAGACCGAGGTACCAGACCGGGGTATCAGACCGAGGTACAAGACCGAGGTAGCAGACAGGGGTATCAGACCGAGGTACCAGACTGGGGTATCAGACCGAGGTACAAGACCGAGGTAGCAGACAGGGGTATCAGACCGAGGTACCAGACCGGGGTATCAGGCCGGGGTATCAGACCGAGGTAGCAGACAGGGGTACCAGACTGGGGTACTAGATTGAGGTAGGAGACAAGGGTACCAGACCGAGGTACCAGACCGGGGTACAAGATTGAGGTAGCAGACTGAGGTAGCAGATCGAGGTAGCAGACTGAGGTACCAGACCGGGGTACCAGACCAAGGTAACAGACCCAGATCGAGGTACCAGACCGAGGTACCAGACCAGGGGGACTTTAGGGGAAGTTGCCCCTAAAATGCTGTTCTGACACCTGTGGAAGAACAGGAAGAGTTTGTCTTTCTTGGTTCCGCTGTGGCTCGAGGTCCAGTTTGTCTGTGAGACCTCGGCTGGTCGCTGACATCAGGCACCACGTTTCTTCTAAATCAGTTCAGAGCAGCAATCTAAACGAGGTGTGTTTCATCGAGGAGGTAAACACAGCTTTTAGTGGGTACCGTGTGTACTGTGTGTACCATGTGTACCGTGTGTACTGTGTGTACTGTGAGTACCGTGTGTACTGTGTGTACCATGTGTACCGTGTGTACTGTGTGTACTGTGAGTACCGTGTGTACTGTGAGTACCGTGTGTACTGTGTGTACCGTGTGTACCGTGTGTACTGTTTGTACCTGCTGGCATCTCCTCCTCTTTGAATTGAGCTTTTCCAGGTCAGACTTGTCTCTAAAACACTTCCTAATCCCTCGGGGTGTGCATGTTAAAACAGAAAGCAAGAGCCGTAGGTATTTAGAGTGCTCGCTTTCATGTCGACACACACACACACACACACACACACACACACGGCGGCGTGTTGAGTGGTATCACGTCAGCGAGCGAAGGATTCCTGGCACACTCGGCCATGCATAGCTAATCCACATTAGGGATGTTCAGTCGGCACATTAGGCTTAAACTGGAGACGTCTGGATGCAAAAGGTTGGAAACCAGTCAGATGTCACGGGAATCACACACGTGTGTGTGTGTGTGTGTTAATGGTAAGTCATTATTGCACCTGGCATACAAAGACATGACTGTAAAGCACGTCTCACCGCGCGCTCTTTATAAATGATTAATTATTGCAGGGGTTGTTGCAGCGAACATGATCCGCACTGTTCAATAATAAGCAGAAAATTATTATTTGACACTTTTTAAAATCTAGTCTGACGAATTCACTACACAGCTTTGTTGCAGAAGTCACACCGATTATTGGTGTTTTCACATTAAACCATATAAATCATTGTTCATAGTATCCAGCCGTGAATTGATTGATTGATGATCGGATGGATCGTTACGCCCAATACGTCACATGATAACTAGTTCATCTATTTTCCGTGCACTGACATCACTCACCGTAATACATTGTTGTTCTACGGAAAAACCGAGTGAAGAGTCGATGAAACTACTTTTCAGCCCCTTGTCAACACGTTGATTGATTTTGTTCTTCTGTTTGTTTTGATTACAGTCTTTCTGGCCCATTTTTGAGCCCAGAGCGTTTTAACTGCTCGATGGTGAAACATTTTTTACTCCCCGTCTGAGAACCACACCCTCGTAGAGAGTAAATGGATCCATGGTGTCCCTCCAGCTGTGCGTTAAGCATCTTTTGCCCTTTTTGGGTCTTTTTACTGGGAGCAAATCCCAGTGTGGCTTGAAAATGACATTTTTTTAACTTAAATGTTTTAATAATTCAACAATTGAAAACAAATGAAAAGTTGGAAACAAATTCAACTTGTTTAACCACAATGTTCCAGAGTCCAATATATGCATTACATCCGCTTTGCATGATTCTTATTTGTATTACCTTTTTAGACGTGTAATCCGTCAGTGACACATTTACATGCAAAGCGTTTGGCGGTTACTTTAATCCGTGTTGATTTAACACACGAGTGCACATATTACAATTAGAATACCGATGGGAGCAAAGAGAGGCTAATAAAACGTGTCAGAGAGGACGCAGGAGACCCGACGAACGGCTTTTCACTAATAAACATGTTCAATAAGTGAAATCCTTCTGCTTCGTCCCCACATCTCCTCGAGGATGGAAAAATGATAAACTGCTTACTTAGTTATTTGACCCCCAATAGCTTCCAAAGGGGCACATTGTCCATAAAACAGGAGAGCGAGCTGCACTCAGACTTAATAACACATTTAGATTCTAAGTGCTAACCGCCATAAAAGGGCTTTTACTTTGACGAGGTCGGGGTGTTTTTGACACCACAGAAATGACACCACATCACAAAATAATTGATGCCATCAAAATACTTTTTAATTCACTTCTCCCACTTTGAGAAGGCTGATTTGGGGATTTTGATGAAATTGAGTTGTCTTTGTGTGTTTGGTGAAGTGAAGTTGTTGGTCCACACTGGAGCAGAGTGACGTTGTGCATCTGCTCATTAGTGAGCTGTGCTAATTGGAGACATGAGGATCACCAGATGTGTCACTCAGGACCTCGATGCTCCTGGACCCTCTGATGAGGAGACCAAACGGACATCTGTTTCCCTTCAGTGGCCTGAAGACATAATTGGTGAATAAAACATCTGAAATAGAAATTGTGCAAATATGAAAACCTCCTGCTTCCCACCTCTTGGTTCCAAACCAGTTTTTTGGAAGGAATTTAACTAATCAATCAGCAAATTAATCAGCATATGTTCTGATAATGGAACAATCCTTCAAGTAAAAGTCAAAATGGTTTCACTTCCTTTAAAGTGAAGATTTGCTGCTCTCGAAAGCTTTTTTATTATTATATATTATAAGTATTTATTTCTATTACTAGATCATAGCTTGGTGTGTTACACCCAAGATGTTGGAGTGTGTTTGGAGTTCCCCTTGGGAATTTCAAACACACGTAGAAAATAAGTAAATAATAATTATTATCTATTGATAAATAATTGAGATCTATTTCTTGATGATCATTTGCGACGCTACAGCCTCATGAGGCGGCTCCCCAGAGACACATTTCACTGACGCTCACAGTGGAACTAAACTGTTGACCGATGGATCAGAAGTTGCCATGACAACTCTGTTGGGTTAATGAGCAGTAGGGCCGGACTGGGCTACTGGTGCCCCTTTTCCACCAAGGCAGAACTGGTCCTAGTTGGGAGCCAGAGCCTAGTTTCAAATGGGTTCTTTGGTTCTCCACCACCAAAGCACCAGCTCCCAACCAGTAAAAGTGGTTCTTAAGTAGCACCGCTTACGTCAGCGGCTGGGGGCGGGGTTACCGTGACCAACAAGACGAGAGAAACTTTCTGATCCGCCATTTTTCGATAGCAGCTAATCGAGCTAACAACAACACAATGGACGCTACTAGGCAAAAAGGCGCGAACACGTTTGATCCGCCGTGTTCAAACAGACGTTGATGTCGCTCCGCAAAGCCATGAACATCAATAGCAAAGCAACGTCCGCCATTGTTGATGATGAGTTTGTGTTTGGCGCCGCCGCGCTAACGTTGCTGGGAAAGATGAGACGTAACTGTGACGTAGGACTTGGCTCTGCGCTCAGTGCGCTGGCTCTTTAGCCGGTGGAAAAGCAAACCGGTTCTTTGGAGGCTCGTCAGTTGAAGCATCTCCGAACCGGCTCTAGCTCTGGCTCCGAACCAGCACCTGGTTCTCGTTGGTGGAAAAGGGGAATAGGTGTTACACACACACACACACACACACACCCTCCAGGCTTCCCCCTGACAGCCCTGTATTTGTTACGTCGGGTTTATTAACGAGCGGTCCAGCTTCCGTCCCTCATTAAGCAAATTCCCTCCCCGTGGACTCGCGGCGGTGGAACGGATGTCCTGTCCCAGATAAAGACGTCCCCTGGTCCAGCTCCGGTCCCCCGTCTCATAAACATCACTTTCCCCCGTGAAAATAGAAAGTGCCCTTTGTCCCCGGCCCCCTGCTGCTGGGGACATTCTCAAGGATGGTGCAGCTGAGTTCCAGTGTGGTCCCATCGGTGATGAAGCAACGTACTGAGATATCTAATGTTGACGTGATGACTTGAAACACATCCAACCAATATTTCCAAAGAATGGGGACGTTCTGACACACCAGGAAGGCCTACAAATCTAAAGAGAACATAACCATTATCGGTCGCCATGTTTTTAAGTCGTGCAACTCAAATTTAAACAACCATCAAGTTCAGTGTTTCCCAAACCTGCTGTGAGACCCCGCCTGACGGCAAGCTCTGCAGAGGGAGTAATAAGGGAGTTTTAAAGCTGCATTCTGTGTAGTGACCAGCAGGGGGCGACTCCTCTGCTCCCATAGACGTCTATGAGAAGATGACTCTACTTCTCTCTTGATTTATTCCCTCAGTAAACATTGTAAACAGGAGTTTATGGTCTCAGTCTCTAGTTTTAAGTCTTCTTCAATACAGCATGACGTTCATTTAGTGAATGATGGTTTATTTAGAGTCAAACAGACCAAACTAAGGTGTGCTATCACCATGACTACGTCCATTTCTTGAATACAGTCTATGGTCCAAAGTCCCTCTTTGGCATTGACTCATTTCTATTTTGATCCATCCTCTTTAAAAACTCTAAAACGATACGATGTCCAGTTATATTCCTCTTCAAATGAATAATAACTGTTTGTTGTCAGTTATGAGTGAAATATTTGTTTTAATTAGTCCGTTCCCACTCTGGCTTTCTCACAAACAAAAGAAACCCAAATG